GAGATCGACGATGTTTCACCATATGAAGCACGGGATTGGGGATCTTCCCATGGGTTCGCCCCGGAAGGTGTCCTTGGCTTAAGGAACGGATTATTGGACTGCAGCGGCATAGAAGAATGCTGGCCCGAGTGCGGATCCCATTCGGAGCCATTCCCAGCAGGTTGATGTTGTGGCTGCTGCCACTCGTTTGTAAGGGGTCTTCCATGAGCGCCGGGAGTCAAGACTGTCGGCACACGGGCGACCCTACTACTTTCTGTTGCCTGCGCACCATTTGCAGCCGGCACAGCTGGCGCAGGTTGCGCTAGACCGGAAGAATCATGCGAGCCAAGGTTGAACCTCTCCACGAGCTCATCTGCCCATGCATTTGTGGCATCACCGGGAGAGACCCTGGTTGGAGACTTCTGCGCTTGTTCTAGAGGCATCAGGTCAAATGCCGGTGAAGTGTTGAGGTCGGGGTAGAAGATGGAGTCGGGGGAAGCGGCCCGCTGAGGTTGGGGGGTGCTTTGAGCCCTTCGAGGGCGGGTAAGACGCTTGGGGGACGAGGACGACAATGACTTGGAGGTTGGCGAGGTTTTAGAAGGCAGATAACGAGGGTCTGAGGGATCAAAGGCTTGGCCGAGACTCTGGAGACGTGGCGGAGCTCGTTTTCGCAGGACCATGAAGGCGGGGGGACCGGCCGGGCTCACGGGCGTCAATTGATGAAACGTTGGACAAGCCTGGGGACCAATGAGATCACAGGCAGAATGAGTATGGGCAGAGGTGAGAGGCCAGTGAACTTTAGTTGAGTTGGTGACAAAGAAATGACAGGTGCAGTCAGACACCTTCGATGCATGAATGAATGGATGGATGGATGGATGGATGGATAGATGATGGGAAGGGGAATGCCGACAGCATATGGTTGGAAGCTACCGGGGGGGATGTATACGTAACGGGGGCAGTAGCTCCAAGCCTCGTTACTGGAGCAGTAAACAACTTCAGTCCACGACCATAGTCCTGCGCATTAGACCAGGGATACGGCAGAGAACGGTGCAATTGAATGCGTAAGCTTGAAAGCAGCAGCTGAGAGGGATAGCACGCCAGAACAAGTCGAACGAGGGTCACAGGCACCCGAATTCCCATAGATGAATAGAACGGTTATCGTCGACCTCGGATGGCTGTCAATGGGCGGTGGAGATTCCAAACACCCCAACGCATACAGCCAATTACCGCACGGGGCAGCAATTCGGCTGCCTGGATCTCCTGCGCTGTCCAGGCAATGTGTATTGTATGGTAATGTGGTACACTAATCACTGACACAATCTCCACCTGAAGCACAGCCACTGTACCCACTGTAAAGCCACATACTACAAGCCACGCGATGACGTCGTGGGCTGCTGCCGCCGGCAAACGGAAAAACATCTTTTCCCGCCCACAGCACAGCGCTTACATAACCCCTGCATTATCACAAGCTCGTGGGGTCCGTGCGTTATCGCAGAAAAAAAGTGAAATGAACCCCCCAGATCCAGTAGGCTTATCAGAAGTCTAGCATTGCGACTTAAATTATCTCCTCATTGCGTGTTTGATGCGGGACGGTTGAATTTAGATGTTGATGAATTGAGAAAGCTTCCTGCCCCCCCACCGTCGCCCAGCATGCATTCTTACGTGCGACCGAATCAGTTCGTCGCCTTCAAGCTCCCGTCCGATCAGACGAGGATCCAAAAGATTGTCCCTAATACGTATGCGCGCGCGCCTGCCCCGACTGAGCAAATGGGCTCGATGTCTTTTCGTCCGACACTCTTAGCTGACCGAGAACCTCTGTAGCCAAGTATTCCTGGGCAAATATGGAACGTTCCCCGCCAACCAAATTATCGGCCGTCCCTTCTACCTAACCTTCGACATCCACGAGACCCCCGGCGAGCCCGATAGCACCCACCTGCGCATTGTCTCGGCGGCCGAGCTCCATGCGGAACACCTCATTGCCGAAGGCGAAGGCGACGGCGACGACCAAGAGCCCAGCGACGAGGCGTCGACCATGCGCACAAACCGCGATACGATCGACGATCGCTCAACGCAGAAGTTGACCATCGAGGAGATCGAGGCCCTGAAGAAGGAGAGCACGGGGGCCGGCAAGGAGATCATCGCCAAGCTCCTGGAGTCACATTCGGCGATCGATCAGAAGACGGCGTTCTCGCTGGCGAAATACAAGTTGCGCAAGGAGCGGAAGTACATGAAGCGGTTTACGATCATCCCCCTGGATGTCAGTTATTTGACGAACTATATGCTGCAGGACAAGGAGGCGGCGCGAACTTTGGAGATGCGCGATGAGGCGCTCGGCCTGCTGGGGTGTTGGGGCAACGTGCACCACGGAGGCAGCACCTCCTTCGACATGGAGACCGTGCTGTCGAATCCGAATGGGCGGTACCTGGTCGTTGATGATACCGGTGGCTTGGTGGTCGCAGCTATGGCGGAGAGGATGGGGATCCTCTACCCGCACGATGGAGACTTCGATGACGAGCAGCAGGACGCTCACCAGAACGTGCCGGCAACAACCGGCGCGCAAGGAGAGCACGATGAGGAGGCACAACCCACCGAGGGTGCCCCGTCACGTCGGAATCGTCGCCCGCAGATGTCTGCGCAAGGAAACACCATTACCTTGCTCCATGCAAACAAGCAACCCAACATCAGCCTCCTGAAATACTTCGGTTACGAGGCCGACGACCCGAGCGACTCTCACCCTCTCTACACGAACTTCAAGACTGTCTCCTTCATGCAGCTTCTGGACCCCAACGCAGACAGCATATACGCTCAGGAACCCACGGAGATCCCCGCTGAGGAGCTTTCCACATACAAGTCGAGCAAGCGCAGCGCTTACCACCGCAAGCGTGGTCGGTGGATGCGGGTACGACGAACCGTCGACGAGGCCCGGGCCGGTGGTTTTGATGGCTTGGTGATCGCAACCCTGATGGACCCGAGCAGCGTGCTGAAGTACACGATCCCGCTATTGGCCGGCTCGGCCCCTGTCGCCATATACTCGCCCAATATCGAGCCCCTGACAGAGGTAATGGATTTGTACTCTACCGCAAGAAAGACTGCATTCATCAACCGAAGGCGCGAGTTGGTGGCGCAGAAGGCCACTTCCGATGATTCGGTCGATGTGAAATCTGAGCTCGAGGAAGAATTCCCTCTCGACCCGACCCTGCTACTGGCACCTACCTTGGAGACATCCAGAGTTCGGGTGTGGCAGGTCCTGCCAGGGCGGTCACATCCCCTGATGTCTAGTCGGGGTGGTGCGGACGGCTTCATTTTCCACGGGATTAAAGTTGTTCCCACGCAAGAGCACATTGAGGCAGCAGGTAACCCCAGCCGCAAGAAGAGAAAGGTCGCTCGGTCAGATGAGACCCCGGCAGACAGTGGTGAGGGTGCTGATGTGGAGATGACTGTGTAGATCGTGCTGGATTGCCAATCTCTTGTCGAACCTGTAACATAGAAGCTCTACGAATTACCAGGTCGGAAAGGGTTCAATCCTTTTGTGGAATCTCATGATGTTAATGTCAACATTCGAGTAACCACTCGGAAACTCCTGTTACGGATCTGCGTGACAAGGACGACTTAGTCGGGCCACCCCTGCTGTAAGCTTAGACCAAGACCATGGTTAGGCGTTACCTGGTCACCATAGCGAACCATGTTGATTTTCGCTTTCACAACGCTCATATTCAAATATACATAGAGTAAAGTGACAACACCTCGGCCGCCGTCCTGATGGGTTTGTCACACGCTGACTGGATGGGCGCAAAATCAAAGCAACAAATCTACCTTAGAAGCTCTTTCCCATGAACTTTCTCTTGGTGAAGCTGAGCCACCACTGTAGAAGAGTATATCAGCCAGTGTCCTCCTCATCACCAGCAGATCCAGGAAACATACCTTCGAGGGACCGACACCACCGGGGTATAATCTAGCGTGCAGGCGGATAGCGATCTCCTGTCGCACCTGGGACAGATAACTAGCATACCAACCACATTAGCAGTCAACCCAGACACTAACGCATTGGAGTGATAAGAGACATACGATCTGAGCGTTTCGGCATCCTGACGGTCGCGGGGAGGCTCGAAAGCCTGGTTCAGAGGGAAGGCCACGTCACCGGGGATAGCAAAGTGGTCAAGCGCAACGTTGATCAGAGCCTAGAATGTGCCACTTTCCGTCAGCAAAGCTTCCTTCCTTCAGCCAGACAGCAAAAAGCAATGTCCTCTTTTGGGGGAAAAGCTTCCTAACCTTCTCCGCATCGCGAGCAGCCATCGTTGGCTTCACCTTGCCCAAGCACTCGGTGATGAACAACGTTCCATAGATGAGCATGCGGTCGGCCGGGCCATTGATCTCGAAGTTGCGGAACAGAACATTGGCCCGGAAGAGCGACAGGATCTCGTCGACACAGTCGTAGGACTCGCTATCGGCGGGCACTTCGATATCGGCGTTAGGCGGGAGCGGAGGAAGGGTGTATGCGGGGCCGCGTGTGCGGGTGCGGAGGGGGAGGACGGGGAAATTGCCTGTAGAACAAAGATGAAGTCGATGGGAGTTAGTTGATGTTGATTGGCTTTGCTGCTGCCTTCTCATGGGAGGGGGAGGGTGTTCGTGAAATGCGCCTGGGAGAGGGAAGCGCATTCCGCCATACCTATTACGGGGACATCCCGGTCCTCGAGGAAGATGGAGTGGTAGGCCTAGACCAGTGTCAGGGGGGAAGTGCAATGGAAATAATCATTAGCAGGAGTCCTGCAAAGCTTACAGGCATAATGTGATGATAGAGAAAGAGCAATGAATCCCCTTAGAGCCTGTCTAATGAGGGCTGGCTGTTGATGGGTCAGGAGAACGGCAGTGGGGGGGGTGAGTGAGGGGAGGGAGAAGTGCTGATAGAAGGCGGTGCTGCCAGACTGGCGGGCGGGAGGTTCCTCGTCGTCGCATGTCATCACCCGCCCTGCCGCCTCAGGAGCTCCTCCTCCTCCGCCTTGGGATTTTCCGGCCCCGAACCTCTTTACGCGCTGCGGGATTTCGACGCGTCTGGCCCTTCCCTTGTGTTTTGCTCCGGGATTTACTCTTGAGTTTCCGCAAATCGAATCGATTTCATTTCTAGCACTCATTAGGTATCCAGCAACTCTAGCCCGAGACTCGCAATGTCCGATTACGAGGACGACATGGACGTGGACGCTCCGTCCAAAAACGCGATCCAGTTCAGCTCCGATAACACCAATTCTAAATCCAAAAGACCCGCGGCAGATCTACCAATTGAGGCTCAAGACAACCTTCCCTGGTCCGTTGACCATGTTTTCGACCTGCCATAGTGCTTCTGTTAACTGACTGCTACCAGGGTCGAAAAATACCGACCGAATACTCTCGACGATGTCTCCGGACACCAGGACATTCTAGCCACAATCAACAAATTCGTCGAAGCCAATGTACGCAATAATATCTCCGCAGATCTCTCACTAGCTACTCACCAAGCTTTAGCGTCTCCCCCATCTCCTTCTCTATGGCCCTCCTGGTACGGGCAAAACATCCACTATCCTCGCGCTGGCCAGGCGGATATATGGCAGCAAGAACATGCGACAGATGGTTTTAGAGCTGAATGCCAGTGATGACCGTGGTATTGATGTGGTCCGTGAGCAGATCAAGACGTTTGCCAGTATGTCCACCCACCAACAACTATAGCATGGCGCTCCCAACTTACCCTACGTTTGCTAGGCACCAAGCAGATTTTCTCCATGGCTCCCGCAGCTGCCTCCGGTGGCTCCTCGCTCGCATCTTTCAAACTCATTATTCTTGATGAAGCCGATGCTATGACGGCAACTGCACAGATGGCACTTCGCCGGATTATGGAGCGGTACACCGCCAACACGCGATTCTGCATCATCGCCAACTATACGCACAAACTTTCCCCGGCTCTCCTTTCGCGTTGTACCCGATTCCGATTCAGTCCGTTGAAAGAGCGGGATATCCGAGTCTTGGTGGATCAGGTGATTGAGAAGGAGCAGATCAGCATTCAGCCCGAAGCAGTAGACAGCCTGGTCAAGCTGAGCAAGGGTGACATGCGACGTGCCTTGAACGTCCTTCAGGCTTGCCATGCGAGCAGTACGTCCATGCCCCGATGATAGTCTCGGGAAAGTTCCTTCATACTGACCTTATTAGGTATACCCCTTCCCATGAAGGACGCCCCTCAAGACCAGCCCCGTCCAGAGCCAGAGACGATTACGAATGAAACGATTTACGACTGCATTGCCGCGCCCCATCCCTCTGATATCGAAGAGATCATGCGAACACTTCTTAACACGAGTGATATTACCTCATGTCTCAACACGATTAATACGATTAAGACCAATAAGGGTCTAGCTCTGGCGGACATCCTGTCTGCGTTGGGCGACCAGCTGCAACGGGTAGAAGTCCCCGCACAAACCAGGATTACCTGGCTGGAAGGGCTAGCGGAGATAGAATGGAGGCTGGCGGGAGGAGGTTCCGAGACGATGCAGACAGGCGGATTGGTGGGTGTTGTACGAAACGGCTGTGAGCTGATGGACCGGTAGTCACTCTTGCAGCATCATAAGAAGAATTTATGATCAAATCATTCTATACCACATAAGTCAATTGATCAGAAGAATTCTACAGGACGGTTGATTTGGTATGAGAATTACCTAACGAGCCAATAGCGCCTTGCTGCCGATAAGGCGATTGACAAAATAGGTTAATAAGCCTGGGACTTGCAGTTCCTCCACTTTAATCCTTTCAGGGTCTCTGACTCAGGGTTCAATGTTGGATCCCCGCAGCTGGGGTAGACAACCTATCTTGGGGGTCTTCAGCAGCGCAAGATTTCCCCCGTTCAGCGGTTTGTTAGACTAAGAGTAACGAAGAAACGCATATCGGAATGTCCACTAAAGTCAATTCATCTTTCATCGTTTGTGTCAGTCGATGTCGATAAGAAAAGACGGGATGGAAGCCAAGCCCGCAAGCGGGGAACAAGGCCAAGAGGCGTTTTTGGTCATGATTTCACCATTGGCATCAGATAAGCTCTCCTGGAATTGTTCAATGGCTTCATCGTCGCATTTCCGCGGGACAATACGAGCATTATCTGCAGGATGGCACTTTCCGGGGAGTCATTTCTCCTATCAGTTGCAATTTGTACAGCACCTAAGTTGCAATTGCACCCTAAGACAGGGAAGCAATTTGACCAACCAATTCCGATTCTCCTGCCAAGTAATCATGTTGTCTAGGACCCTTCCGATCTGTAGGGTTTAGCTCCTATTCCTTTGGTTTTTTTTCCCCTGCGGACCCCGCCGTGGTCGAGGCGAATCAATCTCATGATAAAGTCCTGCTCCGCGGCAGACGCCGGGCTGGCTGGCCGTCGGCCGTGGTTCTTTTCTCTTATAGACTGGTCTGGCTGCTACCTTCCCCTCATTCTACTCCTCTCCTTCTCCTCTAATCCTCCTCTCGATTCTCTCCCCAGAGTTGGAGACCTCGTGGCAGTCAACTTTCATCATGCGGTCCTCTACCCAGCAGTCTAGTTTCATGCTTGCCTTGGTGGCTATGCCTTTGGCCCTGCCAGTATCAGCAGAGAGGATCCTCGGGGCTTATGTCTTCGCTCGTCACGGAGATCGGACCGCTAAGGTGTTGAAGAACACGGAGCTGACTGATCTGGGCTACAGTGAGGTCTATCAGACAGGCAGCTACTGGCGCAGCCGGTATCTTGACTCGAATTCGTCTCTCCAGATCCAGGGGATCAACGAGGATATTGTCAAGTTGACCCAAATCAGTGTCTCGTCGCCCTCCGACGATGTGCTTCAAAACTCGGCCACGGGCTTCCTCCAGGGTGTCTACCCTCCCGTCGGCTCGTCGGCGAACCAGACCCTGGCTAATGGCAGCACTGTCGATTCTCCCCTCAACGGATACCAGCTGATTCCCATCTCCCTCACCGAGACTAACTCGAATAGTGAGGACACAGCCTGGCTGCAAAGCTCAACTGAGTGCCAGAACGCCGAGGTCAGCAGCAACAACTACTATTCCTCGGCACTGTACAATTCGCTACACTCCTCCACCCAGGACTTCTATCAGTCCCTGTCCTCTTTGCTGAACGGGACCTTCTCCGACTCCCAGATGAGCTTCAAGAACGCTTACACGATCTTCGACTACCTCAATGTTGGGTACATCCACAACACCACCAATGTCCCCACTGAGGAACAACTCCACCAGGCCCTCCTCCTGGCCAACATTGAGCAGTACAACTTGGCCTACAACTCCTCGGACACCATCCGCGCCATCGCAGGGGCAATCCTCGCCGGAGACGTGCTCACCGGCCTGAACGAAACCATCTCCTCCAAGGGCAAATCCAAGCTGAACATCCAGTTCGGCTCCTACGGCACTTTCATGTCCTACTTTGGACTTGCGCAGTTGCCCGCTGCGGACGTCGACTTCACGGGCATCCCTGACTACGCTTCCTCCATGGCATGGGAGCTGGTGACCAACTCGACGGACTCGTTCCCTTCGACCTCCGACATCAGCGTGCGCTTCGTGTTCCACAACGGAACGCTCTCATCCGGCTCGCCGACCGAGTACTCGCTCTTTGGCAAGTCCAGCTCAACCATCTCCTGGTCGGAGTTCTCCGAGCTCTCGAGCAAGATCGCCGTCACCTCGACCAAGCAGTGGTGCAGTGTTTGCGGCAACACCGATGGAGAATGTGCGGCCTATTCGACTAGCTCGAACACCACCACCACGACTACTTCGTCGCAGTCGAAGAGTGACGGTGGAGTCTCCAGGCCCGTGGCCGGTGTCATCGGTGCGATGGTGACTCTAGCGGTGATCCTTGGTCTTGAGGCACTGTTCCTCCTGGCTGGTGGATTCCGCATCACCAAGAAGCGCGCTCCTGCTGCTGCGGCCGCCGCTGCTGATGCTGAGAAATAAGGTCAATGAGAGATGTAGATGTCTAGGTCCAGCGCTTGGATTCTAATGAGGGACGATTTACGGTATGACAGTGGATTGGGTGATCTTCATGCAGCAATAATAGCATCCGCAGATAATGAACAAGAATTTTGCTGTTGCAAGTCAATATCCACTTCTATCTTCAATAAGAATTTCCCATTCAGAGTCTAAATAAATGCACATGAGGCATAGAAACCTCGATCCCGCCTCTCGATATAGATAGACCCTGGTTAGGAACTTCCGCAGCTATACTTATGACCGTCTAGTTTTAAGGTGAAAACTATCATTACAGTCAGCTCGTGGCTGAATCAGCTATCTCTGATCTGAAGCATGTAAATCGATATAAAGATGAGCCACAACCACTATATCCATGATATAACTATAGCAAGATCAATTGATTCAAGCGAAAGTTGGAGACCGTGGCCGTGGGTAGGGCGGAGTAGAAGCGTGACGTGACGTGACGCAGCCGAAAGTTTCCCGGGAAAGCTTCCGCTTCGTCTTGACCTTCATTTCCTATCCCCATCAACCTCTCTCTCTCCGCGGCTTAACCCAATTCCCACCTCACCGCGGGGTGCAGCAAGCCCACGAACCACATCCTCCCCATCGCATACACCTACTGCGCTATATCCATCCGCCCACCTTATACACGCAACCTGACCCAACCACACGCACCATCATTCCCGTCTGCGCCGGAAATCAACCCTTCTCTTTAAACCCTGTCACCCACTCTCACCCTCACACCAACTCCCACCAAACCCCCAAACCTGCCCAAAATGTCAACCCACTACAACACCGAACCCCCCGCCACGGCCACAGCAACCCTGCACACGACCCTGGGCCCAATCCACCTCTCCCTCTTCGGCGCACAGACCCCGCTCACAACGCGCAACTTCCTCCAACACGTCGCGGACGACTACTACACGGGGACGATCTTCCACCGGGTGGCGCCGGGGTTCGTGATCCAGGGCGGGGACCCGACGGGCACGGGCGCGGGCGGCACGTCCATCTACGAGGAAGCCGAGTTCGAGACGGACCCGGAGGCGCGCGACCCCACCGAGAAGATTGTGCTGCGCGATGAGCTGCACAGCCGGCTGCGGTTCAACCGGCGCGGGCTCGTGGGGATGGCCAAGAGCGAGGACGGGACGTACGGCAGCCAGTTCTTCATCACCCTGGCGAACACGGAGCGGGAGCTGAACGGGCAGTGCACGCTGTTCGGGCGCGTGGAGGGGGACAGTATCTTCACGGTGCTCAAGATCGCGGAGGCGGAGGTCGTGGCCGGCACGGAACGGCCGGTGTATCCGGTCAAAGTGACGGGGTGTGAGGTCGGGGAGTTGGGGAGGTTTGCGGGGAAGGTGGTTCTGAATCGGAGGAGGGTGGCGGCTGCTGCGCCAGCAACAGCAGGAGGGGCGGGGGAGAAGGAGAAGGGTAAGGGTGGTGCGAAGAAGAAGAGCAAGAAGCCGAAGAAGACGCTGTTGAGTTTCGCCGGTGGGGATGGGGATGATGGCGAGGAGGATGGCGAGGAGGAAGGGATTCCCGTGCGAGCGGCGAAACCGAAGTACAACGCTGCGCTGGTCACCGATGCAGCAGCACCCTCCTCGTCGACGAAGAAGCTACATGACCCAGACCTGAAAGACGACTCACCACCCCGCACCAAACGACCTCCTCCACCAGCAGCATCGAGCATACTACCACCACAACCAGCACAACAGCCCACGCGCAAACCCAGCACCCCCGACCCATCCACCCAACTCCCCCTCCCCGACCCGGAATCCCCAACCTCCTCCCCCGAACCCACCCCCGCAGCCCCCAAACAAACCAAACTCGACCGCACGAATGCCGAAATCGAAGCCGTCATGGCCTCGATGCGCCGCAGCACCGCCCCGGTCCACGATCCCTCCACGCACAAGAAATCCGCCCTGGAAGCCATGATCCCCTCCACCGCCATCCGGGGCCGCCGGCGCCCTGCCCCCGGCAGCAGCAGCACTGCCTCCGGAACAAGCGGCGGCAGCGCCAACGGAATCACCGGCTTCTCCAGCAGCAACTCCGCCGACGCCCAAGCGCTGAAGATGTTCAACGCCTTCAAGGCCAAGCTCGAAAACGCGGACTCCGTCGCCCCGTCCGCCGCCACCAAACCAAGCAGCAAACCCACCCCCCATGCACCCGCGAAAGCAGCAGCAGCAGCAGCAGAAGAAGAAGAGGGAAACGAAGACGAAGAAGCCCAACTATGCGACCTGCACTTCATCGCGAACTGCCAATCGTGCCAATCGTGGAACGAGAACCCGGACCCGGACGCCGCCGACGAGAACCCTGACGCAGCAGCAGCAGCAACAGCAGCAGCAGCCGGCGACCCGGACAATGATCGCGGGTGGCTGACGCACCAGCTGCGGTTCGGGAAGGATACGCTGGGCAAGGATCTGAATTGGAAGAAGGCGCACCCGGAGGACGTGGATTCGTTGATGGTGATCGATCCCCGCGAGAAGGAGCGGGAGATTGTGGCCGCCGCCTCCTCGTCGTCGGGGAAGAAGAGAGGGTTGGAGCGGGATCGGGAGCGGGAGCGGAAGCGTGGCCGGGTTGGGGATCTGGAGTGGGAGAGGGAGAGGGAGCGGAGGCGCTAGCCCCTTTTTCACTTTACACAGAATATAAGGTAGTCCTTGGTATGTACAATACTGGGTGTATGTAGGTGCTGGGCTGAGTGCTGGATCTGTACACATTATTCGGTGATTCCTGTATGTTGGAAATGAGATCTAGTAAGGAATCTATTATATATGGATCCACTATCTTGGATTCAAGGCAAGGGTAACTGATCATGAGGGGGTTGCTAATGTGCACAGCATGGCCATTGATCCAGACACTCTGGAACATGAGCAATGGCTTGTACATGCCACAATCAGTAGCATTGGTTTTCTAAGGGAGTATCTGTGATTTACTGTTTGTTCTGGTATGTTTAACAGAAATGCAAGCAACCGGTCACACACACCGCTCTCATGAGAATTCATTACTATATTATGGCCCAGAAAGGAAATTCTACCAATGCCACTGCATGGGAAGATTGATCGGCTAGACATCGGAAGCAGACCAAACTAGCTAACATTTTTCTTTCGCCAAATATGAACAAGTTGATCTTTTCCAGGCCATATCCCTCCGGTTTGGTTCTTTTTGTTGGTGGGTCATCACAACATAATAGATAAAAAACATAGATTCTAGTTTGAGGAATCGAAGGGCAGTGGTGGAAGGGTGGGGAAAGGGGAAAGGGGAAAGGGGAAAGGGGGGAGGGGGAGTCAAAAGGCAGTGGGCCTTAGTACCTGATACACATTGGTAGACGGAGAGACTAAAAGATAGGAAAAGCAAAGAAAGTAGAATGCATTTTCCTCATAGACTTCGCGACTCAGTCTTGCGGAGACTGCCCACGTATACGTGCACTTGCATCTCACTTCTATCTCGCTCCCTTGTCCTTTTTTTTGGGCAGTCAAGCTTGGTCGGTGCCCGACCTCCGTTAGTAGAATATCATCAAAGTCGGAAATCAAGCCTTCTTGCGCCGTTTCACGCCGCTACCAAGACCCTTACCTCCCGGAGCATCGTTGCCCGTGTCTAGCCCACCGTACTGTAAGCTCTCGTCCACAGTGTTAGCAGGGCTGGTGGCATCGCTGTCAGGCAAAGATTCAACTCTGCTAGCGTCTTTGCCGTTAGGAAGCGGCCCATCCGCCCCGATGCCGGCGTGAAGGTCATTTCCGCCGTACCCGCTCCCATCGAATCCATGGTAGAAGCCAGGATTGTGTGGTGGGGGATTGGCTCCGCCGAAGAGATCATTATCAGCGGGGAGATTGTCGAAGTCGAACAACTCGTTCGCGTCCTTGATCCCACCATCATTGGGACCGGCGGTAACCACCGGGTCCGCCGCGGTTGTGGCTGGCACGGACCCGGCCGGATCGCCATAACCTAAGCTAGCTTTATTATGTTCCAAATCTCCAATATCCGTGAAGTAGTCGTTATTGAAGATAGTATCAAGGTCAAGTGGGGGAGGGGGCGCACTGCCATCTATGCTGATTCCGGGTATGGTGCCCGTAGGGCTGAGGGGTTGTAAGAGGTTGGTCAGGTTCTGCACAGAGCGATCTTGCTCGGCCTGCATCTTGACCAGGTTGTCGATCTCCGCACGTGTATTGGCCAGCCGACCGGAATAGTTGTGCGGCATCGGCGGAGGCGTCGGGGTGACCAAGGCGTTATTTGGAGACGATGCACCATTGACTCCACCGGAGCCTGTCTCATGGGCCATGAGGCGAAGCATATCGGCGCGTTGGCTGGGGGTAAGTGGCGAGTTACCGCCCGAAGTCTCGAGCGATGACAAAACATTCGGGAAGTCGGCGAAACTCGTTGGCATACCGTTTCGGGCGTTGGAATTTTGAATGACTGACATGATGTCCCGCTGGGGTACATGAGACCCTGGAGGCGGTTGCGCCTCCTTCTGCCGAGGACTGTTGTCGTATACCTCTTCGACATGTCCCGGATGAGAGGCGCTGGCTTGCCGGCCATGACCGCGCGAATGTGAACGGTCATAGGTAGTGGAAGCTGGGGACAAGGTCGTGGCACGGCCCTGACGGTCTGGCCCCGGAGGAGCCTTGAGCAGGAGCTGCTGTTTTTTCAGCGACCGCGGTCCCGTTGGGCTGGTCAGGTCGGTAGGCCCGAGAGACCCGAGTGAGTAATCGTCCATGTCAACGATATTGCCATGCTCCTGGGAGATGGCCCCAGCAAACGAATTCGCTAGATTTTGCGGTCCTTCCTGCCCTTGCAGACTGCGATTGTAGACTGTCGCCAAGAACGTCAAAATCGCGTTGATGGAGTTCTCGTGCCTGGTGTGCTGCTCTTGGAAGTTGGCTGCCTGCGCATACAGTTGCTCATGTTCCCTCCGCAGTTTGGTGATGGTGTTGGAGATGATCTGCTGTTGTTGGCGAATCGCTTGCAACTCTCTATACACCCCCGCGAGTTGATCCTTCGGCATGAGGCTCCCCGTGATCAAGGACAGCTGGCGGTTGCGCGATCGATCATCTCGTGCAGGTCCCAAGGCATCATCCACGTACTCGTCATTATCATTTTCCTCAATCTCTTCCGTCTTCACCCGCACATTGCCCTTGCCCGCCTTGCTGCCCTGCCCGGCTGCGTTTTTAGGTTTCTGAATCAACCACAACAAGTCGGGGTGACCGCGCTTGAAGTATGGATTCGCATATTCGCTGGGGCTCTTATTCTTCCGTTCGCTGGCGCGCATGGAATTGTCAGAGAGCCCCACCTTCTTGTGGAAGCCGTACATGTTCAACTGGCGAACAAAAGAAGCGTAGTTGTTGTGCTTGAATAGCTCCGGAATCAAAGTCTTCGCAAATTCATCTTCGTCCATCACAATGAAAGAGTTGCCGTCATCCGACCATCGAATCAGATCGGTGTTTTTGGACTCATCCAGAAAACTGCAGCCATGGTTAGTCACGCATCGCCTTGAATATTTGAGTTACTTTTCCGGGGGGAGCGTACCTGCTCAGTTTCTGAACGAAAGGAGGGATCTGTTTTCGTTTGGCCTGAACTTCTCTCTTCGCGACCATCGCGCGCTCATACAACTCACTGAGGCTCTCCCCCCATCCACCGGACTCGCCAGAGCCACTGCCATGGTCCGAGAAAGAGGCCGACGTCTGGTCATACCCGCGACTGCGGTTGACCAATTGAGTGGGGGTCTGGCGCCGGGCAAGCTGGCCGGAAGCCGTCACTGTGGAGGCCGGGACATCTGAGTTCGAGGTGTACGCCGCCGGGTTGTAAGAGCTCGCATCAGGGTAGGACGGGCTGGAGACGTTGGAGGACGGATTCTGACCCCATTGCAGGAATTGGTCGTTCGACAGCTGGTTGCCGGGATTTTGAGGATAATTCGTGAGCGGGCCAAGTTGCGGGTGCACGATGGGAGATGTGCCAGGAGCTGGTCGTTTGCGGGTGATTCCTTGAGGGCTCATCACAGGCGACTGAGCGACCTACGGACGGTCGGTCGGGCAAGCGAGTATTGTGGAGAGAGGAGTTTTTTTTTTCTGGTTTTGATCGATTCGCGTGTTCCGTCGTGCTCAGGGATGGGGCAGGATAAAAAGTCCGAGAAATAAGCGATCAGCGAGGGAGGAACGACTCGCTGCTCGGGATCTGCTGGGTGGGCGAATGGCGGGGGATAAGCGGGCGGGTGTTCACTTGCTGGCACGGCTGGCTGATTCGGGAAATCGCAAAACCAAGGACAGTCATAGACGTCGTGGGGAGGGGCGAAGGTATATAATCCCAGAGCTATATCACTCGAAGGATAGGATAAACAAGGAACAGAGCAGGAGGAGAGGAGGAGGAGCAGTGGACAAGGGTGGATGGAGAACGCAAGTGTCAACGGCGGAGACGCGACGGGCGCCGCCGCAGACGCTAGATGGAGTAGTTGCAAGAAATGAACGCGAAAGGCGGGAGTCAGGCAATAGGCGGGTACGGCTCGATTGAGAACAATCGGTTGGTTTGCACTGTTTCTCACAGACGCAGAGAAAGGAAAGTTGTAGGAAACGATGGCAGGGCGACTGTAGTAGACAGACAGACAGACAGACAGAACTCGAACCAGTTGGGTCGCAGAGGGTCGCAGAGGGTCGCAGAGGGGGAGACACGGCGGGCGGGCGCAGGGAAAGCCAAAAGCACCAGCGCTGCACAATAAAGTACGCACTGGCAGGAGTAGTAGTAGTAGTAGTAATAGTAGTAGTATAACTACCGGTAAGTAGGTGGGTATTCGATAAAAAAGAAGGACTGGGCTGAAACTGTCGGCTCACGACCCTCCTAGTCTCAAAGCTCCGCAGCAATAACAAGCTGATCCTACTGGGTCCTAATCGCGCGGTCTGGGTGGATTTAGAGAACAAAAAAGGGCGTTTCCAGTCTTGCAAAACTCCTCCTATCGAGAAGCTTGGCGGGCGGTGATGAGGTCAATTGCTGGAACTGCGCCGGTTGATTGGCGGGTCTTGCAGATAGCTGACTCAGCTGGTTGTCACTTGCACGTGCGAATTGACTGGGGCTGGCAACTGGTCAAAGCAGAAATTAACTTCAAGCTGAGTTAGCACTGGTTAAGTACTAGTAGTAGCTAAGAGGACATATCAGCACTGACATTCATCTTCTGGTCCGGCTCTTATCATTGAGAGCCCCAGTGTCGGGGTGGGAACCTTTAGAGTAAGAAAAAAAAAATCTTTGTTGTTTAGTTGACTGGTAAAACTACTACAAATGTACAGTTTGAGGCTGTCTAAGCACTAGTTCGGCCGTGCCTTGGACCGGCACGCTCTCCACTTCTGCCTCCTATCCAATCATCGTCTACTATCAACAGTAGCCTCGACCTTGTTCGGCATCCAGATGGCCGTGATCCCCAGAACTATTGGCCCTCCAGATGTTTCAAGCGGCTTCGATGGAGTTCTGGCTGGTCAAATTTTTGCTCCCATGCTACTGGACTGGGGAAAGAGGGCCGCAGAGGGACGGAAAGAGCAAAACCGCAGCCAAAAGAGGGCATAGCCAAGAACAAACGGGCCAGGACCGAGATTCCGCCGGAAGTAGACTACGAGACAACCTCCACAATTCATCGCATGTTTCCCTTCTTTCTTCCCCATTGACACAGCGGTAGAGAAGATAGTCTAAACCTTCTCAGCCAATGCCATGGCTTATTCCCCGATTGATTGTCGGAACTCTGCCAGGATTTCCTGCCACTCCCCTGGCGAAGCACCAGAAAATCGCTCGATCTTCGTGAGAGCAGCCAAATCCTCTTCCATGCGAGCCGTGTTGGTGGTTCCATCCAACACCGTGGTATACCCTAGGCCCAAAACCAGACAGTAGAGGGCCGCCGCCGGGGAGAGCGCTGCCCGCTGGGCCAATGACTGCACGGCGTTCGAACGCACGAGATCAGGGTTCGCCGTCAACGTCCAGAAGCTCTGATAGACGATGTGCTGCTCCCGACAGAAGGCGCGCAGCGCGACATCATACTTCGTGTCGGCGTAGAACCGATTCTGCACCACCGAGGGCTTCACCTGCACTTGGGTAAACAACTCCTCCAGAACCGACAGGTCGGTGTTCGAGATCCCCAGGTTGCGAATGCGGTGCGGGACGTACGTCTCAAAGGTCCGCCAGGCCTCCAGCGTCTGCGCCATGGTGGGCAGTGGGGAATGGAGGATAAGCATATCAATGTACGCCTCATCCGCACTTTCCGGCGCCTCGGCCGGACGGAGATTATGCAGCGATGAACGAATCGAGGCATGGACCTGCTCAGTCACGGACGCCTTCGCATCGTAGGGCATATCCTTGGGGTCCTGGCCCCGGACGGAAGTGAATTTGGTCTGGACCTGAAACCTGGCTTAGCTACCGGAGGGTCATGCATCATGATGCAGTAAAGTATGCTTGTCCAGGAAATTGAGATTCCAAAGGGGTGTGATGACAGGACCTACATGGAGATCTTTGCGCTGGATGGCGCCATCGTTGAGGGCCCTGCGAATGCCCTCTCCGACCAGATCCTCCCGATAGTGTTTGGGTTGGGCAGCTGTATCCACGGCACGGAAGCCAGTGCTCAGCGCCTGGTGAACCAGATCCGTAGTCTGAGTTTTCTTCCATGCGGTCCCATATACCAGAGTCGGTATTATCGACGGAGGGGCGTTCTGGACCGGCCGAAGGACATGGTTTTCCCAGGACATCTTGCTTATCGCAGCGCGGGCCATTGAAAAGTGGGAAGTGGGAAGTGGGAAGCGTTTAGGAGATATCCGGATAGTGATAGGAATAGGATGTATGGAGTATACTAAGGATGTACTGCTAGCAAGTCACGCACGAGGTGGAAACATGGGACTTCAGACGGCAGGGATCTTATGATGTCGGGTATCATCCACATCTACTGGAATGGGACAAATTGGACCGAATGAGGGGTTGTTCGACGGCACATTCCGACGCGTTTATCATCCAAGGGGGGGGGGAAGCAACTGACCTCATGATGACCTAAGGTAGGTAGCATATCAGCTTTACTCTTTTGAGTGTGTATGGGAATTCATTTCCGGAAAGTATCCAACTACTATAGTAGGCCCCGTCTAGGACAAAAGGACGGTGGAGTAATCTAAGTGCTTTCATAGTTGACCCCATTCCACTACTCGAGTCCCGAATAGTGACCAAATCCCGAAAGCCGCCCGGCCCTTTTTCGTGATATTTGGTACATGTGTACATACAGTGTCCTTTTCTTTTTCATAGTCACACTCGAGTTATGGGCAGTTGTTGTCTTGACTGCCAATCTTCTTGCATACTATTTGAGATTGTAGGCAGCATAGTTTCTTCAACCTACAAATGAGTACTCTGACTGGCTTGTGGTTCGATTAACGTGTGACGCTATCTATATATAGCAAAGAGGCGGTGCAGGGCTTGTCAGGGACATCCCAGGTATGCATCTTCTCCAGAATCTTTCCTGCACCTCCGACGTTTCTCTACCCATACCCAAACTCACTGTTGCAACTGGCAATTGCTCTGTCTCTGTGCGGGATGCTTGGATGTGTACTGTAACGGAAATATCATCACATACCACCACACTGAATCCGCAAGAGTTCTACATTCTACCGAGTAACCAAGTCCAAGATTCAATATAAACACAACCACATCACTGATCCAAGCAGCATCTCTCATCCCAGATATTCACCCCTCCCAAAAACAATATGGCCCAGAATCAGCCGGGATGAACCTTGACTCCGCATGACATATGATAGCTGCCACCCCTCGCGACTGCAAAGCCAAAAAGCCAAGCCACCACTCCTCCCCCCCCCCCTCCAGCGAACGCCAACCTGCAGAACCATTCTCCGGACCACGATATCTCCAACCACTGCAAACCCACCAGGCAACCACGTTCTACGGGTTGTACATTGCGTTTTTCGAATGTTGATCGCCGCATCATCAGGGTCCTACTCCTGCGGCCTCCTCCCCTCCTCCCTTCTTGGCGACCCGCGAGGCTGAGCAAGGTCCCATCCAGATAGCAAGTTTCTGGTCTCGCTTGCCAAGTTCCTCGCTACGAGGGTTTCTGCGCACCGGATGAATGGAGGGGTGTTGGTCACTCAAGCGAACTCGACATCGGCAGTGCTCTCAGTGCTCCATCTACCCCCATGAGAGAAGGGGGGAGAAGCTGTAGCCTACGATCAAGAAATAGCGAAGAAGCAAATATAGAAACCTACACCCAAGGAGAATGAGGGGAAAGGCAAGCCTTTCGAGTAAAGTATAAAGATGGGCTCCATGGTCCCGGTCGATTAGAGTTCGATACCAGCAACAAAATCGCACTCAGGACACTTTCAACGACTCTCCTCATCTCCAGTTCCTCCTTCTGTCTGTGTGTCTCTCTCCATCGCATCTCGCACCTTTATCCACCAGCAAAACCAGAAACAAACCAAAATGCGCATCGCCCAGCTCCTAGCCCTCAGCGGCCTCATGCTCGCCACCTCCGTCACCGCCGGCGGGGAGCTCGACCGCAACGACGTCCCCAACGGCTGCTGGGAGCCGTGCGGGCCCGTCGTCAACATCTCGCACGCCTGCGACGCGAAGACCGACAACGACCGCGCCGAACTCCAGTGCGTCTGCCAGTGGGACCGCGCGGCCACGCTGATCCCGCTGTGCGAGGCTTGTATCGGGTATTACCGGACTCAGCAGCATCACGACGCCGACAACGACGACGACGACGATGACGACGATGATAATGATAATGACGATGATAACGACCTTCATGATAACGGTATGCATCACCCCTCCAAGAATCTCGAAAGCAGAGCACCCCGCAGCGGAGCATGACACTAATCCCATGGGGGGCTGGGAGGGACAGACGCATACGATATTCTAACTTCATGCTCCCTGTCAACCACCACCTGGAACCCGGCGGCTGCGACCTCGGTGCTGAGCGCGGTGAATGCGTCGGCGACGGGGAATGCGACTGGGACGGGGGTCACGGGTACGGCTGCTGCTTCTGCTACTGCTACTACTACTGCTGGTGCGACTGGGGGAGGACGGGATAGTGCTACTGGCTCCGGTGGTAGTAGTGGTGCAACGGATCGGGCGGATTCGGTTACGGCGACGGGCGCGGTCTCTGCTGAGGGGGCCCGAGTTACTGATAATGCGGCGCCGGGGGTCGTGGCGGCCGGGGGTCGTGGGGCTGCGTCTTTTGCGGCGGTTGTTGGGGTCGGGGTTCTTGTTTTGTTGTGAGGGTGAGTGAGTGGCTAGGTAAGAGTATTTGGATGGTGGTGGGGGATCAGTGGGGAGTGAGGCTTCTGGGGCTGAGGGTTTGGAGGCAGGAGAGGGATGGGAAGTGAGTGGGAGGGTTGAAGGGGATTGGTTGGTTAGATCTATGGATGAATGATGGACTATGAAAGTATGAGTGATGATTTTGGTAGATTGGATCTAATCTCATCTTGTCGGGTTGATGTTGTTTGGGTTTGAGAAGGGTTGTTGATGTGGTTTCGACTGCAGTTGTCAAGTTTTGAGAATGCTGCTGTCAGTTAGTCAATTGTTTCGATGAGTATGAACAAGATACTTCGGAGTCAGGTAATCTGGTGCTGGCAGTCTAGACGCGGTATTTGTTGAGTATCGATGCTCAGGGGCTCCAATTGGTAAAAGTTGGGCTGATAGAATAAGGTGACTGCTTCATGGCACTGGCCATGGTCATACAGCGAAGCAAGAGTAGTGAATTTGTCGACAGGTGCTAGGAGAAGGCCAATACTTGTCATGCGGAGGTGGTGAACTTATTCACGAATCACCCACACTAAGAAACGTTAAAAGCTCACCACAGAAGTATACAGGGCACAGAGCTGCCTCAAACATCAAATGAGATGCAATGATCGGACACCAGATCAGCGAACTTTCCATGCCACCTTCATCCTCATGTCGGAGCGAGTGTCGATGGGGCCAGATAAGAACTCCCAGGACTGGGGTAGCAGATAGTCCAAGGATGAACACGCCAGCAACCTTCCTCGATCGAAACCTACACCTACACCACACCAGCAGCGATGACCACTCTGCGGTAGTTACAATGGAGTGCTGCCCTTCCTAGACACCACACTACACAAAGACACCATCAAATATGAGAGATCTCCCCCAACCTCCACACCACGTCCCGAAAGAACATGGGCAATCGAACCCAGCACTTCACCTCGGGACTTCACTCCACCACGCCATGAGATCTATCCAACACCAAGCAATCGAAACGGAAAAAAAAGCAAAGCGTGTAGATATCACCAAGGTAAGCCCTACCCAACACTCACCGTAGACAGCGACCAAAAGACCGCACTCACGGGCTGAACGCTCTCTCTCTCCCTTCCGAAATCACCACGGGAACAACCGAAATGACATGTGCTGACAGGAGGGGAGGAATAGTAAACAAACCTCCCAGTCCACGGGGTCTTTTCTGTTCGCTCCTGGCGGACGGAACAACGGAACGGAGGTCCAGTAAGGGCCCCATTCAACTCCGTAGCATGCTGCATGGGTGATGTGACTGAGGCCGGATCAGGAAAAAGGTATCTGACCTTTCATATGTACTGCACGTACGTACAGTTCATGTACGGATTCCTCCGTACAAGACCAGTGACTTCTCTTTGCATGTGTGTATGTATGTGAGTGTGTGTTGTTGTGGTGGGAAGGCGATGGGGGTCTGCAGCCCTTGCTTGGGCGAGGTCGGTCTGTTCCTTGGGCCTTGGGTAGCCTCGAGAGTGACAGGTTGGTGGTTCAGTCGGAACGGGGGCGAGTGAAGTTGCTGTGAGAATGCTGTTTCGTTTCGAAGGGAGGGGAGGGGGGAGAGGAAGGGTGAAAGGGGAAAAAGGAGCGACTTATATGTCACTGGTATGGATGTGTTCTTTGTTGGGCAGGTTTCTCTGTGTGTATGCACCGTCTGAGCATATTGGTAGGTGTTCTCTGCCCGTCTCTTCTTGGGAAGAGGGGAGGGGGATATCTCACTCAAGTGGCGACTGGCGCGAGGTCAAAATGATGGATCAGGTGGCTTACATGCTGCATTGCATTAGCTCCATCCTGCACAGACCAAAACAAAAAATATGAAGAGTATGGCGATTAAGAACAGAACAAGAAAAATCACAAAAGCAACGAAAGGGAAATGTCATCATCGTTTCAATGATCTGTAAATGGATTCCCTCACAGGGTGATCATCGAGCCCTCTTTCTGGCGTCGTTGGGTAACCAGATCTGCAGCCCGCAACACATTTGCTGGCATTGCGAGCCCTACTCGACAAAGACATCAGGGAGAAAGTGAAATGTTTCAGGTGAATGACATAAGTCGCAATCATGACTTCGGCGAGCAACAGCAAGAAAGTGGGCACGGTCAACACAATGCACCCGTCTACTTGTCCTTCCAACCAGTCAACGGATGTTGCGAGATGATGATCTTCACCTCCCATTACCGTGTGTAAGGCAGAGATTGGCCTTGACGGGATATACGAGGCGCAGTCCCATGCGCTTGCTTTTTCGTCTCGATTGCATCATGTTATTTCCACAGCCACGAGGGCTGATGTCTTGCTTCGAGGTACTTGAGCTATGCGCTGGTAGCAAGTGCTGCGTGGGTGCGAGAAGCCCTGTGGCCACGAGGGTTTGGCCAGAAAAAGGGTCGAAGAGCTAGAAAAAAAGACAAGAGGAACTTAGGCGATTGATCGTAGCTATCCACTATTGAAATGGAAAGAAGAGGTTCTCAATAGTAGAAACTCGACAGGTTAGTAGGGGGAGGGCGGATTATCCTGTGTAGATATGACTATCCTCGGATCAACTCACCTAGCCAGTTTGATTCCTTCTGCACCCCGCGCGTACGACAGCATGGTCCTCCATAACGAAGCACATTCGGGCATCGCCCTGCTGGCATTGCACTTTCTCTGCACGCTTGTTGATACTGCCAAGTCGCATTCGAGTTTACGAAAGCGATTGGATTGCCGGAACTGGCTTGCCCCCCTATCTCTGCTGCCGCGGAGGCTAATGGCAGTCAGTCCCATAGTAACAATTATTAATCCGATGCAGCTTCCAATCAGCGATGACGATGAATCACTAGTAGGACCATAGTGTCTGAGAGACTCCATTCCAATTTCCTCCATTGGGTAGGGGAAACCGGCCTTCGGTGGACTGGGAATAGACTAAGAATATTCTATGGAAGCGCTTGCGAGTTTAGCTCACTTCGGGATCGCCCATAGAAGCTCCCCGGCGAGCTACGCCACGGGACTGGCCCTGTCTTCATGAATAAATCACCCTGAGGATTGATGACCCTCAAGGTAAGTGCCGAAACAGGATGTGTGGTGGATTTAGTGAACGCTTCGCCGATGGGACTCTACTAGTAAGAGACGGAGACTGCCTTTCTAGTGCTCGCCTAGCGAGGGCTTCCCCCCCCCTCCCCCGTTCTCTCTCTTTCCAGCTTAATCGGGACAAATGCCAGCCCAGTCAATTGCGGGCCACTGCATGACAATGGGGAGGATTACAGTTAGTCGAGGATCCCGTGCGCTGCTGTTGCTGCTGCTATTGCTGTTTCGAGAATGGAAAACAGGCAAGCGGGAAATCTGACATCTCCGCTTAACAGGTTCTGGTGACACTCTAGCGGGTTCTAGCTTCGGAGTGTTAAATCCCAAACCGCCAGAAAATTGGACCATTCCCCATAACGAGCCAGAATTCGGGGACTTGCGGATCCCTATGGCGTGTGTGTGTGCACTGTATGGGTGTGCTTTTGTGGCCTCGCCCTTTCGGATCCTATCGCCAGGTTTCCGTTGGACCGTCAATGTGCGGGAGCCGATGGGATCATTCCAGATCCGCCTTTTTTTTTTTGGTCATGGAACCTGCTGACCGGACCATGAGAATTTGATTGCTATACCCAGAAGTCCATGTGCAAGTCGCACTCCCATCGAGAGGCTGGAACAATGAGCTGGCGGAGATGGTTCGTTGCGCATGTCAGTTTGCACAGTACTCCATCTCAGGGGAGACTCCTCCGGACTCCGGAACCCCGTAGACACTTGCGTGTCATGTAGACGAGGCAGTAAAATTTGCTTCGGCGGTGGAAAGCGATAATAATAGCACGGAAGATAATAATAACAGCGATAGTGTCTTGTTCGGAATTCTATTAGACGGATGCAGGGTAAATAGAGTCGTATGGAGTACCGCTCATCAGGGGCCGGGCTTAATCTCGATTGACAGGTAGGATTTCGGGACTCGCTCCTCGCTAGTTGCTCCTGCGTCCAAATGCATTGCCGGAGGCTAATTGATCCCGGCCAGCTATGTTCTCGTTCACAGATTTTCTAATGGTGTTGGGATTTCGTTCGTCGAGCATGACCGCTTGTCTTCATGACGAAGCTCATTGACAACGGAGGTGAAGGAGGGACCAAGCTGGCAAAGCTTGTGTGGAGAATTTCCCTCCCTTTTTTTGACTTTTGAATTTGATTGCTGTTTTTCCAAGAAGTATTGAAGCTATAGGGCATGTGTTTACCCACCGAGAGGCGGATCCCGAATCCACCGTACCTAGTCTAGCTAGGTACGGCGTTAGGGAGCAATAGGGACGCGTCGAACCGCTTGTACTTCCAGTTTCCCCGAGTACAAACCGTCCAAGAAGGAAAAATTTCGGGACCATCGATGGGAATTGCCTCATGGAATGAAGTGATCTGTGAGAGTTAGGTTTAAGGCAGCAGAATGGGCAGCGATTCATTGCTGATGCTTCCCTCTCGTCCTGTTCCCTCCAACAGAAATCTCCGATAGCGAAAGAAGGGAACGATCTTCGGACCAATGCGTCATATCTAATGACAGAATCCAATTCGGGTTGACGCCGCCTCTCGATGGGAAAATAATCTCCTATACCCAAGGAAGCTAAAGAAGGCACCAAGAGTGGCTCAGAGTGGAAGGTTGAAGGAGGAGGGGGCGAGGGGGGGGGGGGGGGGTACGAGGCGGGGTGCTGTGTTCTCAAGCCGGTCCATCAGGGACATCCGGACACGATGCCAGGCTGAAACACACACATCGACAGGAGAACAGACCAGATGGCGACAATCGCTTGACTACGCAGCAGGGGTAACCGGGAGATGACGCGGTGAGAAGCATGGCCATGGGGAAATCATTAGTTCTTTCCTCAGGGGGGAAGTTAAGAGAACAAAGAGAAGGTTTCAAAAACAGTCGTTGTGGCGAGAACGATGATTAAATGTATGCATAATCTTGATGAAGGCAGCAGGACATTTCCTGTCATCGTCC